GAAGCAGAAGTATTTCTTGTGTTTGACTGCATAGTACGGTGACAAGAAATGTGATGCTAAATGTTTGAAGTATAGCTTGTAAAATATGTGAAGCTCAGCCACATTTTTGAATCAGAAGCTTAATGTGCTTTGGAATGTCAGACATAGGCTGATAGTAAGATTCCTTTCTGTCCAGGTAACTGCTTAACAATAAGCTTTAAAATCTTCAATGGTCTTTGGGAATCTCTGTTGAAATCCTTAGTAACTCCCAGGATTTTATTTTAAACAGAAAGAGTAAGTGTTTGAGAAAAAAACCTGTCTAAATTCATCATGGGCAAGATGAAATCTGATATGCTTTTTTGTTGTTGTTTTCAGTCAACTGGAGTGTTAAGGCAAACCGCAGGAAGACAACAGGGACTGGCCGCATGCGACACTTGAAGATTGTCTACCGCCGTTTCAAGAACGGATTCCAGGAGGGAAGTCAGGCCAAATCTCAGAAGAGAAAGGGTGGTGCTGCTGCCACTTCTAGTGCCGCAAGCCAGTGAACAATTCCAGCAACATGTACATGTAATAAAAATTGTTTCTAACAACNGCTGTTCTCCACTTTTTCCACTTTAGCTAGTGCAGTGAAGAGAATACATGTGCTTGTAGTTAGTTATGAATTAGTTGTACATGTAATTTTTTCTGGCATCCACTTTCAGTTTGATCTTCCTTTTGCTTCCATGTATATGTAGTATTTGTGTATTATTGTCAAATCTTATTCAATTTTGCCTGTACATTTGCAGTTCATCATGAAAAAAAGCTTTTTAAGGTCTCTGTTGAACACCTATTTGATAACCTTGAGTCTGGAAAAAGAAATTATTGTTTTGGAAAAAATCTCAAAAATTGTAGGTCCCAAAATCTGTACGAACCCTGTAGAACAGACAAACAACAAACCGTATGTACTGCAAACCAAGGAAGTAGAAGTATTTCTTGTGCTTGACTGCATAGTACAGTGACAAGAAATGTGACGCTAAGTGTTTGAAGTATAGCTTGCAAAATATGTGAAGCTCAGCCACATTTTGAATCAGAAGCTTAATGTGCTTTGGAATGCCGGACATAGGCTGATAGTAAGATTCCTTTCTGCCTAGGTAACTGCTTACCAATTAAGGTTTAAAATCTTCAATGGTCTTTGGGAATCCCTACTGGAATCCTTAGTAATTCCCATGATTTTATTTTAAACAGAAATAGTAAGTGTTTGAGAAAAAAAAACCTGTCTAAATTAATCATGGGAAAGATGAAATCTGATATGCTTTTTTGTTGTTTGGTTTTCAGTTAACTGGAGTGTTAAGGCAAACCGCAGGAAGACGACAGGGACTGGCCGCATGCGACACTTGAAGATTGTCTACCGCCGTTTCAAGAACGGATTCCAGGAGGGGAGTCAGGCCAAATCTCAGAAGAGAAAGGGTGGTGCTGCTGCCACTTCTAGTGCCGCAAGCCAGTGAACAATTCCAGCAACATGTACATGTAATAAAAACTGTTTCTAACAACGAAATTTGTGTGGCCTGTTGATTTGAGTTGTAGTCAACAGTTACCGGCACCGTACTTAGAACGACTTATTGACGGACTCAAGCAAAACTAACTACCAGATCTAATGATTGCACAACTGACAATTTGACTAACAATAAACGACTGTTAAACTGTGATAATAGATGAATCGAAATGCACCAATGACATCTTAAGTTTCCATATCCTTTAACATCACAGCTTGACTGACAGATTACCAATAGCATCGCAAATTAATGGACCAATCAGGTCAAAAACCAGAGTTTGATATTACCATCATTTGATGTTACCTGAGATCAGGCTCAATTTTTGTTTCACTTTGTAAATAACATTCCGATGGGCAAGGCGAAACGAGCAGTAGTGGTAGCCGTTAGAGAGAATGTATGAGAACCGCTAAAATTGGGCCTGATCTCGGGTTACATTTGATGTGATACAACTCACTTTGACTCAGATGACTACCGCACAGGTTTTTGAAGCGTCATTCACTGTCATCAACAGTCATATTCAGGACTACTCTCACCCAGATGATCATGTTCAACTTACTTATGAAATGACTCCTGGGTTCCAGCCTTTCACATGTTGATTTTAAGTGTGAAGGAACACACAAAAATTACTTTGCCTTCTGTCTTTTCACTTAAAAATCACAGACAATCTTAGTGGCTCGTACTGCATTTTGGTATATCTTCTGTGATCCTTAACTGAACAGTACACCTCAAGCGGTCGTCCATCTTTCCTCAGAGCCACGCGCAGCGTGCAAAAAGGTCAAATTATGCAAACTAATGGCAAAAACTGGGGAGCCACTGTTGTTTTTCACAGGCGTCACCGCTGACCCCTCACCCGTGCCCTCGTTTCTCGTGCTCGCATTCAACCGTGTCTCAAAATAAAAATAAGAGACTACTAACCAGTGCAGTCTAACTGCACAGATACATGTCATAGTTGCCACATGTGTAGTGATACATGTCATAGAAAATGTAGAAGATATAGGCCATTTGTGCTGAATTAGATCCTTGATTTGCGTAATATAAAACCAAGAATGCATTCATCAACAGTGAGCCTCTTTCAGAAGTTTGCTTCGTTTTTTTTTTTTTTTCGTTTTTGTCCTTCACAGGAGCCTCGAAGAAATTACAAGTCTAAATGTGTCCTAATTATTTCTGCTGATTGTACTAGCATTGCAAATTGTTTTGTTTTTTTGTTATTTTCCTACACTTTGGGTGATCTCAATAATACACGCCCTGCCCCACCCTCTCCTTGGAAGAGACGCGGAAGAGCCAACAGTATTCACTTACGGTATCTGGTCCGCCTTTTTTCCGTGTGCAGAAAATGTCCAAACGAGGAAGAATCTCTTTCCTCCACGGAGGCTTCCGCTTTGCATCCCAATAAAAAAGGGAAACAATCGAAAAATAACAATTGCGCGGGAGCGACACAAAAGGGGCTTAAGCAGCGACGACAGGGACGCCAACGAGAACGGCAAAACGACAACTTTGCACGTGATCACGCTTTTTTGTACATTTCTATACCGTCACTGTATGACCACAACGTGAAAGTGCCTAAATTCACGTTTGTCGAGGACGGGAACACAAGACAACAACTTTCTTTTTCTTTTTCTGAACTTTGATACAGTCCTTTAGAATTCAACTCCGAAAAAATTTGCCAACATTTGACGAATTAAACGTCGCCGTCGTAGTTCGGCTTAAACTCCCTAACAGAGGTCTCTGTGGAGAGAGAGAGATGCATGAGAATCTAGATCCCGAGCACAGCGAAAGAACAGTTTCGTTTTTTGTGTGTGAAATAATTCCGTGTTTGGTTTTGGCTGGGCAGGTGAAGTCAAACTCTGTTAACCCGATAGCATTTTCGTTCTCATTTACATTACGTCATTGGTGACCTATACGAAAGAGGGGTACGGCAAATGTGATCTATTTTGACTTGAAAGATTAAAGGCGATAACCAATCCAAATGCGTGTGAACTACATGCCTGCATTATTTAAAGTTCCATTTGGTTAAGAGACCATGGAAAAACTCCTTAAGCGATCACGCAATAGTTGTCGTCTTCCTTTGCCTGTTCAAACGAAGCGGAACTTAATTTACACACCGGCCTCAATCTTTTTGGTAAGAACTGTTTCGAACGGGGAATGGAGTTAAGGCGTCATCAGTCGGTCTTGACTGAAACTTCCAAACGAGCCCTTGCAACGAACAAGGGCCAATCAGAGACTTTGAAGTCTACATTTGGAACACTTGAGAGTGACTTTAAAGCAAAATGCCACATAGTGAACGCCGAGCAAGCGAGGTTTGTTCGTATGATAAAGACGAAGCTTCCAGCGATTAAGGTGGCTTACAATGATGAAACTGGATCGACTCGTCGCCAGTTTTCTCCATCCTCAACGCCCCCCATCTCCCCACCGCTTGAAAGGAAAACGTCAGGTCTACCGTCTCTGAATCAAGGGCATACACCTCTTGCTCGTCGAAGATCCAGATCGTTCTCAGACTTGGTACAAGCAGTTAAAGAACAAGAAAAACTAGCGCTGGAGAAGATGACTCGACATAAATCTGCTGAACATCTTCAAGAAAACGAAGGAGGAAACGAGCAAAGAATGAGCATTGGAAATCGGCCAAGGAGTCACTCAGACATTGACCACTCATGGGACTTTTACGCCGCTAAACAGGGTGAAGACGGTAGCAAATGCTTACACTTGAGTCTACCCCGTAGACAGAAATCATTTGAACATATTCGATTAATAGAGGGTGAAAACGAACACAGGAAAGTTGTGGGGAATCGACCAAGAAGTCTCTCGAATATAGAACAGACACGGAACTTAAACGTTGACAAACATGAACAAGAAAGTAAAAAACGCTATTTAAGTATACCCGTTCGAAAGCAGTCAGCACCGATTTCTCCGGTGCTTACTTTGAAATCGCACACGTACACCCACGCTGAAACTCGTGAGTTGACGAACAAGAAACCGCTTTCTAAACAACTGGAAGATGTAAAAGATTTACGGTATTTAAGATCTGGAAAGTACTCAAGCGAGACCATGGACATGAATTCGAACATGAGCAATGATTCACCTGAATGGTAACGATCGTACAAGCATGTCACAATTACAAATAAACAATGAAATTAGTGAACTGCTTTGTATCTTAAACAAATGTTAGTGTGTTTAACTGACTGTATAAAGCATTTGCACGTTTTTTTTTAAAATTATCATAGCGTGTTTCTTTTAGATCGAAAAGTAATTTAAGATTGATTGTCTAAACAAAAGAAAAGGGATTATTTTAAAGGTTTATTGCTTGTATATACATATATTGTTTAACATTTACGTCAAACGAAACAGTGTCCGCATTCGACGAAAAAAGAGGAAATTGACTTTTTAAGACAATGAAAATCGAAACGTACTCCTAAACAGGTTTCATTTGAAAAGTCAAAGGATTTTGTCCGGAGACTCAACAGTAAGAAAAATGCTTTCAGATCTCAAGAACTAATTGTAGTGGAGAGGGTTAACTTTTTAAATCCTATTAAGAAGAGTGCACAGATAGACAATAAAGGTTAGTGTGTAATTAGTGGTATTGGAGTGTATCCAAAGACTGATTTGGACTCGAAACATTTCTGACGCACGCAATGGGCTAACGGTGGAATTCTTTGCCACTGATGTATCATTTAAACAAAACTATCGACCTCTTAGTTTGCAACGCAAGTTCTGTACAAACTGAGTTCAATTTATACAAAAACGAAGCTTTCAATAAAGAATAACAAGATTCTTGAATCTGATTGGCTATTACAGTCCTGATCTACTACGTAACTGACAGAAGCACGGACCATCACCCACGGTGTAATTAACAGTTGCACTTGAATGGGTTACACTTTTTACTCACGTCCAAAAACAAGCTTGTTTGTTTTGTCTATCAATACCGGTATCAATACCGCGCATGTTTTCCTTAAACATAATTTTGTTATGGTTAGGTCTGGAAGACAGAGTGGAGTCTAATTCGCAGTGCAATCATACAAGTCGTTAAACTAAGCTTGTCGACCGACAGAATTTGAGTTCTTCAGTCCTTTTACCTGTTCCATGATTATTTTATCATTTGACTCAGATAACAAAATTCTCGAATCTGATGACAAATTTCACAATAGTGTGAAAAAATGCCTACGGAAATTAAAAACCGGGACTGACATTTATTTGTTTATTGAATTTTTTTTACGAGGGAAAAATGCATTAACCAGACATCCCTTCAAAAACCAGATGCGCCATTTTTAATATGGAGTAGCAAAAAACAGTGCTTTTGAATTACCACGTGGTTGTAATGTGACTGCTCAAACGAGCCAAACTGGAACGAGTGAATGATCCGAGTAGAAACTGGGTAAAAACTATAAGGGGAATTCCTCTCCTCGACTTGCATTGGCTCAGTTTTTGTAATTTCTCAAAGAGAACACAGACACAACTGTTGATTAAAGAAAGCTAGCCAACAACTTATCAGAAAAGAAAACTTTTTAATTCAAAAGCTTTAAAAATACACTTTAATCGAGCTCATTAGTTCTCGAAATTGATTACTACTCTAAATGTTTTCTCAAGTACAACTGTTGAATATCCAATTGCAATTCATGATTCTGATGGGCTAAATCGTCGCGAATTTTCTTCCTCAGAGCTACAAGTGCTTGGGCGGGTGGTAGATGTTTGGATAACTCCAGAGATGATTCTGCCACAATAACAATCGGCTGAGGGGGTCTATTTGAACTCGACGACCTCGCCCGCGGGACTTTAGCTTTTTCAAGGCGAGGTACAGTTCTTACGATCGGCGCTGATTTACAAAACGTTACCCGTTTTTTTGGTGTGGCACCGTCGCCTTGGAAGGCACCTTTTTCACAAGAACTCGGTGATACTTGTATTGAAAAAGTAGGGCAATCCTCACCTATACTGTAATCATTTTCGCTTTCATCTTCAGAACTTGAGCTTTGATTGAGCTCAATAAACGAGTCTTTTTCTTCACTTGCTTGATTGTCCACTGACAAAAAACTGCTGCTATTTTCCACCTCCCCTTGCGATGTTGGTATTTTGATGGGAACGCAATTATTAAGTCGTGAATCAAAGTTAACTCTGGGGCTCGACGGAGGAGCAGCAGGAGCCGTGTGCGGTCGTCGCGGCTTCCGAATGTCCATTGTCGCTTCTTCGCCATCTTTTCGCGACCTCTCGTGACTTGTCTTCGGGCGGGCTTTCCCAGCAACGTCCGGTTGAAAATTGCTCTTTCTAGTATCATCAAGTTTTGTCGAATTCTTTGTATCTTCCTCCAACATTTCCTTTTCACTTTTATCACTTAAATCTTTCTCCGTTACATCCGTGATAGTTTTACTAGTAACGGTACCTTCGTCCTCGAAACTTACTTTCTTTGAAATACTCTCAACAAGGTTTAAATCTTGCGTCGTTTCATTTCCGCTAACATTCAGAGTGTGGCATTTTCTTTCACTACTATCCTTCCTGTCCCCGCTTCTTGTATCCTCGACTTCGACAGAGATAATACACTTCTCGGCCGAAGAAATCAAGTTTCTTCGATCTGGATAAACCCAGCGGCTCTCTAAGCTCACTTTGTAAGCCGATGGATGGTTTTTAACCTCGTCTCCTTTCGAATATTTTTCCTGTTCCCTTGGTTTCGTCGCGTGAAAGACAACTGGATGTGTTTCGCATAAGTTCTGAAAAGAATAGGAACAGGTCCGAAATCACATGCATGTTTTATGTCTGGTCTGTTGTTACTTATAATTCTAATACTACTTTCATTAATATTGCCATACTACATCATCATCATTATCATCAGCACCGTCGTCGTCATGGTCATCTTCATTAGGGACCTTAAACAGCGACGACCACGACAACAACAACGTCATAAAACAATTGGTTTTATGAGCAAAACAACAACTCTGCACGTGCATCACGCTTTTTAGTACATTTCTTTGACGTCCACTGCACGACTACGACGTGAAACCTCCCAATGCGACGTTTTAAGGTGATGTTACACGGGACAATTCACAACGACGATTTTTAGCGCAAGACAGCGTTGCAAATCTTGCAATGTTGGAACAATGGTGTAACCATTCGACAACAATGTTGTGACTCTGTGTTGCGCTAAAAATCGTCGTTGCGAATCGTCTCGGGTAACATCACCTTTGTGTGGACATACGACGACAATTTTCCCTTTCCTATTTGAACATGGATAAAGCCCTTAAGAATTCTACACCAGGAAAAAGTTGCCCACATTTGACGAATTGAGCGGTTCCAAATAGACGCGATAAAGTTTAAAAGGACGCAAATTCAATTTTTTAGTCACTGATGTCGTCGTCGTCGTCTTTGCTTACGGTTCCTATCACCATCATCATCATCATCATCATCATCACCGCCATTGTCCCCGTCAATCACCGACTTCCTTATCATCATCGTCACGTTTTTACGCCATAAATATTCTGTTCAACCTAAAAATATTTGCTTTACTTTATTCATTTTGCTTTAAGGTTTTTTAACCCCAAATTATTTGCTTTTCCTTATTCATTTTAGTTTAAAGCTGTAAGTGGAATTACATGTATAGTCTAGAGAGTTTACAACACAATTTTTTATTTTTTTTTACTTTTTAAAAAACGAGTGTTAGTTGTAATATTAGTTGTATTGTACATATATATCATGGTGAAAGACGTAAAAACACTTTTTTGTGATAAGTGTTGGGCACAAAATCTACCCACCCCCATCACCCTTCACACTTTTAAGTTTTATAAGTTATAATAATAAATATTTCTTGCTTACACTGTTAAAAGTTTAGTATTCAATTTCCACAAACCTGAGATTTACCTTTAACAGTTTGGAAAAGAATGAAAGCAAAACGTTATACTGCGTACGCTGATGTAGTTCTATGATCGCTTGACTGGATGGGTCAAAATGTAGAAAATTAAAGTGTTAGCAATGTCTTTTATAGATGTTTATGGGGTAAGGACATTATCAGTTCAATGCTTTAATTCAGTCATACAGTTTCTTATTATCATTTTAATTACTACAAATTCTAAACAGACTCCACTGATAACTGTTTGGGCTAAAAAGGGTTGAACGGTGCTACATTTATACATTAATGAAATTATGTCCTTGTAAATGTTAAGTTCTTTATAAGAAAGTCGGAAAATGAAACCCCTAGATCTCCGTTAACCTTTCTACAGCATGGTTTTCACTAGCAATGCAACGCAAGCACAAGGCAAGCTTTAACTTTGCTTAAGGCTTCAGCTGAAGGCTTCACGTTTTTGTTGTTGTAAACATTCACCAGAGTGAAAACTGTCAGTGTTTTCCGTGTCTCATGCCACTGCACTTTCCATCATGGTTTTATCACGTGCTGTCGTATCCTGGGCAGGGTATATTATTATTGAATTGCATCGCAGTTAGTAGCCTGTGAATACAGACGTATTTCCAGTCATTGCTTCTCTCCACCCAAAAAATAACGTCTGCTTAGGTTGGAGAGAAGCGACGACTAGGAATACATCTGCTTTGGTAGGCTACAAGACCAAGATACATTTGAATTTATTCAAGGGCGCATGACCAATAATCAACCAATGGCCTTTCCGATTCGTATTCTTTCACTTGTGCATTTTTACGGCCATAGTGAAAACCAAGCTTGAATCTAAAGCTGAAAACAAGTTTAGGTAAAATTTATTAAAAATTAAAGAACCCAGATTTGTTAAGCATTAATCCCTGAGTTAGCCTCACCTAAAAATAATTTTTCACTTTTAAAAATAGCTGCAGGTTTAAAATAATGAAAAAGAAAAATGTATGTCAAAAACAGAGCAGTTTATCTGCAAAAATCATTTCTTGTATGAGCATCATGGGAAAAAGTGGTTTTTAAAGCCAGCACACAAACAAATTAACACTTATAGACCAATAACAGATCCACAACTGGACCACACCTGACATTTCGGAATTTTCCCTGTAAAAAGACATCTGTCTGGAACAAGCCCAGAAATTCCATACTAATGACATGTCACCACTTAAATCTGGATAGTGCCTCTGATTGATTGCAGCCTGTTCCAGGCTGTCAGAATGAGATAGTGGAGAAGAAGCGAAAGAGAACGTTTCCTCCTGTTTTACTTTCATGTTGAGCTTTCTCAATCCCCGCAGACCCAACTACCTTGGAGCCTGGAACAGCTTAGATTGGTTGAAGAAAATTCTCCTTATCAATGTCACAACCAATCTAAAGCACTAGCCAGACCTGTGTAGTTGTAGCCATTCCTCCGATGTCATTTTGCACAGAAAACCAGCTGGGGTGTTACAAAATGTTGGCTGTTTTCTCAGGCCCTTAAATAGAAAAAAATGGTCATTATTCTAGAAAAAAAAAATGTGAAACTTTCAACATTTTAAATATCTTTTAAAAGTTTATTTTACCTCAGAAGATGCACTTTTATCTGTATGTGCTTCTGCTGAAATAACACATGCCTGTAAAATAAAGTAGGAATTAATGAGTTGAATCTCTTATTGTAAATTAACACTCTAAAAAATGATTCTTTTCTCAAGGAGGTGTAAAATATGACTTGAGTTAATTCTCTTTTTCATTCTTTTTGCACCAAAATCTTCAGCTACGGTCAATTTTGCATCTCATTTATTTGTGCATAAATTATTGTACATAGTTGAAATTATGGGAAATTCTGCACGACATGGTCACCTACTGGTCTTAGGTCAGTAAAACAACAGTTAGCTCAACCTTGAAGCCTCAAGAGTGATCAACATCAATTTTCTCTTAACAACGTTTGCAATACATCATCAAGAGAAAGGTTATGGGAATCAATAATGTTCTCAGAGACAATGAGCACATTACATGAAGTGGTGACTGCATACCTCAAGATCGAGGGTGCACTTTCCTACAGAGCTCATGTTTGTTATCGTTTTGTTATGAGATCAGGTTTTGTTCACTTTCAGAGGCACAACAACTTGTATGTACGCATCTTTTGTTGGTCATAGTTCAGTCATATCACCTTTGTAATAGTAACATCATTTCTGTTTCAGCGAATCATTCTGTGATGACTTTCTTACCGTTTTTCTGTGTGGCGTGTAAGCAGCTTCGATTAAAGTCAGAGCCCAGAATGGATATGAGTTTTGTGCTTTTAAAGTAGCAATTATGAGTGGACGTTACAAATAAAATGATCACCAAAGAGAAAATGTTCAATTCTTGCCCAGCAAGAAAATCTTCTTCCCCTGGATGACTGACTGAGGCTTTGTAAGGGCCCTAAAATGCAAACATATTTACGCCTATCCCTTCTCTCCCCCTCAAAAGTAGCAAGGGAGAAGCAGCAGCCAGAAAAAAGTCCCATCCATTTTTTAGTCCTACGACAAGTACGATTTTCTTGCTGGGCAAGGAAGTAATCCTCTAACAAAATCATTAACTTAGACGAGCAAGAGGTGGCCCTGTGCAAGCAAAATATGAGAGCTGCAAGCTGTAATTCAAGTTTTTTTGAGCCCTGCTACCCAGCAATACTCACATCATGCCATTGAAGCTGTTCTTCCCATGATAAAGGGGCAGTCCTTTTCTTTCCTTGCCTAGCATCTCCTTGACGAACCTCAGACATCACTGTATCTTTCTTTCTCTGTGTCCTGATAACACCATTTTGTCCTACCCTGACTTCCAAGTTATGCTGTAATAGATTTGGTACAGTTTCTCCTTTCTTGACATTTATCGAATAGCACATTGGCTTTTCATTTATTGCATCACATACAAAAGAATCAATAACACCAACACTTGTTTCCTGGGGAAAGTTAAACCAAGCTGTGGGCTTATATTCCGAGCCTTTCCCATTGTATTTGCCAAAAACAGACATGGCCCGTGGAACCTCAGCAGGGGGTGCGCACCCCCCCTCCCCCTCCTGAGATGACCTGCGGTTTTCTAATGCAAAAAAAAAACTATGTGGTTTATTGGTGTTGAAGTAGAGCAAGAGACGAGTGCACCCCCTCCTAAAAAAAATCCTGGAACCGCCCCTGATTTGAACTTATCCACGGGAACATCACCAATAATCAACCAATGGCAGTCCCTATTTAATTGAGTGAAAGTTTAGGAATATAACAAGGACTCTTATTCTTTCACTTGTGCATTTTTAAGGCAATAGTGAAAACCAAGCTTGAATCTAAAGCTGAAAACAAGTTTAGGTAAAATTTATTAATGCCTGTATTTTAAAAATTAAAGAATGCAGATTTGTTAAGCATTAATCCCTGAGTTAGCCTCACCTAGAAAATTTACAAAAAAAAAAAACTAATCTTTAACTTTCAAAAATAGCTGCAGGTTTAAAATCATGAAAAAGAAATATGTATGCCAAAAACAGAGCAGTTAATCCACAAAAACAATTTCTTGAGTGAGCGTCATAGGAAAAACTGGTTTTTAAAGCCAGCACACAAACAAATTAACACTCATAGACCCACGTGAAAATGTGAAACTTTAAACATTTTTTAATATCTTTTAAAAGTTTATTTTACCTCAGAAGATGCACTTTTATCTCTACGTGCTTCTGCTGAAATAACACATGCCTGTAAAATAAAGTAGGAATTAATGAATTGAACCTCTTATTCTAAATTAACAATCTAAAAAATGATTCTTTTCTCAAGGAGGTGTAAAATATGACTTAAGTTAATTCAAACCTCATCTATTTTCTCTTTTTGCATAAAAAACTTTTGCTACTGTCAATTTTGCATCTCATATATTTGTAGATAAATTATTGTACATAGTTGAAATTATGGAAAATTAAGAATGACATGGTCACCTACTGGTCTTAGTATAGGTAATAGCATGATTTGTAGTGATATTTGGTATAAATACCACGAGTGATATTTCAAAATTGTTATACGTAATTTCACGAGCCGTTAGGCGAGTGAAATTTGAGACAATTTTAAAATATCACGAGTGGTATTTATGCCAAATAACACGTACAAATCATGCTATTATTTGTTTATACTGCTACCCGCAAAGGTTTTGTAATTGTCACATGTAGGTATTTCAAATTAAGCTGAAATACCACTGCTCTCAGCCAATCAAATTACAGAAATTTCTCATGTAGTAGTATAAGGTCAGTAAAACAACAGTTAGCTCAACCTTCAAGCCTCAAGAGTGATCAACATCAATTTTCTCTCAACAACATTAATTTGCAATACATCATCAAGAGAAAGGTTATGGGCATCAATATGTTAGAGACAATGAGCACATTACATGAAGTGGTGGCCACGTACCTAAAGATCAAGGGCACACTTTCCCACAGAGCTCATGTTTGTTATCGTTTTGTTATGAGATCAGGTTTTGTTCGCTTTCAGATGCACAACAACTTGTATGTATGCATCTTTTGCTGGTCATAGTTCAGTCATATCACCTTTGTAATAGTAACATCATTTCTGTTTCAGCGAATCATTCTGTGATGACCTTCTTACCGTTTTTCTGTGTGATGTGTAAGCAGCGTCGATTAACGTCCGAGTCCAGAATGGATATGAGTTTTGTGCTTTTAAAGTAACTGTTATGAGTGGACGTTACAAATAAAATGATCACCAAAGAGAAAATGTTCAATCCTTGCCCAGCAAGAAAATTTACTTCCCCTGGATGACTGAGAGCCCTAAAATGCAAACATAATTTATTTCTGCCTATCCCTTCTCTGCCCCTCAAAAGTAGCAAGGGCGAAGCAGCAGCCAGAATTACTGTTACTTATCATTTGCAGGCTACCCAAGGCTAGAAAAAAGTCCCATCCTTTTTTTAGTCTTGGGACAAGTAGATTTTCTTGCTGGGCAGGGAAGTCCTCCTATAACAAAATCATTAACTAAGGCCCTGTCCAAGCAAAATATGAGAGCTGCAAGCTGTAATTCAAGTTTTTTTTAGCCCTGCTACCCAGCAATACTTACATCATGCCATTGAAGCTGTTCTTCCCAGGATAAAGGAGCAGTCCGTTTCTTTCCTTGTCTAGCATCTCCTTGACAAACCTCAGACATCACTGTATCTTTCTTTCTCTGTGTCCTGATAACACCATTTTGCCCTACCCTGACTTCCAAGTTATGCTGTAATAGATTTGGTACAGTTTCTCCTTTCTTGACATTTATCGAATAGCACATTGGCTTTTCATTCATTGCATCACATACAAAAGAATCAATAACACCAACACTTGTTTCCTGGGGAAAGTTAAACCAAGCTGTGGGCTTATATTCCGAGCCTTTCCCATTGTATTTGCCAAAAACAGACATGGCCCGTGGAACCTCTTCTACATCGATTTTCTTGTCTTTCTTTTTGTCAACCTTTGCATCTACTGAACGGCTTGGACAAGACTTTGTTTCTCGTCTTTGTATTCTCTCCTTTTTCCCAGTGTCAGTGGATTTGGAAGTAGACTGCTTGCACTTCGTTTTCTCCTTCACTACTTTGTTATAGTGTTCTGAGGTTGTTGATCTTGTTGAAGCAGAGGCAGAAAAAAGTCTTGATGACAAAGTCACACTAGATGTGCTAGGAGACAAAAACAATGAATTCATGTTGATTTGATCAGGTCAGGTTGTTCTTAAAAAGTTCAGTTCTTTTAGGCAAAATTCACAACTAAAAATGTTACACACACATTCTCCAACTCAAACAAGTAAAATTAATGGTTAAACGAAAGTAGGAGCATGCATAAGAAATGTCTTAAGCTCTAATGAAATCTCACTCTTAACCAAAGTTTAATATGACTTCCCCTCCCCACGCTGACATGGTATTTTCTCTTATTGCTGGTAATTGCAGCTAAAGCACCAAGAATATGTCTCTGACAGTAGAAAGTATTTGAAAAATATTATTACAATTAAGCTCACAAACATCTTCTAAGTTAGAAACATTTCAAGGAATCTTACTCTACTGAGGAACGATGGGTCGCTGACGTTTTGCAAGACCTGTAAGACGATCCCTCGTTTATTTCTCGCAAAGATCGATCAGCTTTGTCTCTGGAAGCTTTGAGTTTAGCTTCGATACCGGCGCGAAAGCGCTCCTGCAAATAGTAAATGTGGCAAACAAAATGTGTGAGAAGACAACTGTAAGCGGCGATTAACGCAATTATGGTTAGGGGATCATTCAATGAATGTCAATGAATTGTTTTACTTTTCCACGTTTCTGGACGAGAGAGTCAATTTCCAACTTTCATCGCTTACCTTTGAATGCTTGTGGTAGATCCTCTTGGAAATCTTATCCAGATCGTTTAAAGTACTAATGCATCTTGAAGCCATAACTTTCCTCGGTAAATTATCGAGCTGCAGAGTGCAAGGTATGTAAAAACTACATGTAAAGCTTAAGAAACTTTTCAGCTTGAAAATACGGTTGAGGTCCCCCACGTCGCCAAAGATCAGCTGAGATAAACGTTGAGCTTACTGACGATAAACGCGTCGAAATAAACACGCCAACACTAAAATTACCAGCAAAGTCTTGTACAAATAGTATTGGATGCAAAAAACAAAAGGCTTATTAAAATCCCGGTCGTTGAGGCCCCAAATTGAACGTAAACAATGCGACCACGAAACCTGTTTCCTTGTCCGCCATGGCGACGGGAAAAGGAAATCAGTGGAATGATTAGAATGCCATATTTGGTAAATAGAAGGCGGGAACACGTGAAATTCGAAAATCGTACGCTCCTGATTGGTTTATGATGATGTAATGCACGGGCTTTGTACTCCCGCCACACGACCGAATTCCTTCCCGAGGAACGACAACAACGCAAACGTGGAGAGGTCTGGAAGATATCTTCCGTAAAAATGGCCGCTCAGAGCCCAACAGATTCAATTCTTCCACAATGGAAGAAAGCTGGGAAACAGGGGAAAGAGATGACAAAGCCAGAAGACGAGAAAAAAGCTGCTGCAGTAAAAATAACGGAATCGGCGAAGTAAGAGAGAGCGGCGAAAACTGATCTTCTATGCGTCTGATCGTGTCTTCAAATATTGCTTTGATACATTGAAAACTATTGCTTTTTTTTGTTCAGGCCTATATTGGAGGAACAAGCACTTCTAAGAGAAAAACTAAAAAATATGCCGTCGTGGAAAAAGGAGAAAGATACTGTGCAAAAGCGAAAAATGCAGCCCATGGTAAGTGAAGTCCAGTGTACTATAGTAAGTACAGGTTACAATCCTGCATGCTTGAAGCGTAATCGTAAGACTAATATCGGTTGTATTGGCCTTCTTTTTATAACTGATACTATTTTACAGTTCCTTAGAGCTCTGTATAATATTTCTTGGCTTTTTTATTTAAGACATCATTTCGCGATTTGTTTTAAGCTTACTCATTGAACGAGTAAACCGTTTAACTCTGATCCATCGCATTTCACGCACGCTATGTGTTGATGTTGTCAATAATTTTAAGTTTACATCAAACGACTTCCTGTGTATCCTCTTTATCTAGAAAGCGATTTAAAAAGTTTATTTTGTTTAAAATCATTTTTTGCGAAAAAATATTAAAACTTGCCCCACATGTACATAATTCCCTGCTTGCTTACATGTATCTTGTCTTTGTTATTGTTAGGGCTAACTGTAATCTGAATAATCGTCATTTCCATTTTTAACTTGGCCTTTCCGATCGTGATAAAAATAACAAAAAAACTTTTTTTCTCAAATCATCATTTTGAAAATATTATTTTTACTATTTATTTGTAAAATTTTGGGGGGAAGATTTTATTGAATATTTATTTAAAACCGTTTAAAATTAACATACTTGTTAATAATTAAAGCAGCTGCAATTGTGGCACACGTTATGCAAATGTCGTGAGTATTTCAAGTTTTAATCCCTTAAAAGACTCTATTTTGGAAGGGTAGTTGTTAAGTAAAGAAGCAGATGTATTTTTCAAGCTCGTTTCTAATTTGTCCCAGTAGTGACTACAGTTTTCCATAACTGTGCTCCCGAAACAGTTCACACGGCACTAGTTTTCTTCTCCTTTCTATCTCTTTCTAGAACTATCAAAAATTGCCAGAACAAAGGCAGCACATTTTTTATCAACACAAATCTTCAGATTGTTTTGAATACCCAAAAACTGTCCCTTCTTAAATCAAGCCACCCAAAAAAATACTTGCCAAAATTTTCCTACCCAAAAAATCCTGGAATCGAAAATTTCAAACCAAAAAACCTTTTCTTCAATCATCCCCATCACTAGCCTTGCATGCAGGTGTTTTTTGGGAGCTTGTTTTTCATCCCTCCGCACAAACTCCTGCTCAACCGAAGACAACTTTCCTTTCCCATTGTTTATTTGAGTGGTAAGTGATCAATGAAGGGTTGTGAAATAAAGTGTTGACAGGCTAAACAGACTAAAACTTGACCCTAGAGTTACCATTTTCCTTCTTTTCCTTCCTTCAGTAAGGTTATGCAGTACATTGAGTATTCAAAATTTGACTATTTAAACCTTTCTTTTGCCAGTCTGAATCTAATATTTATTAGAGGTCAGAAAGCTTTCCCAGTGTTTCATGCAGATAGAGTAATTATCAGATTACCCTGCAGTCAAGGTCAACTTTCCAGAATTTGGAAAGTACAATGTGATTGGCTAAGCTTGGGAAAGGAATGTTGTCTTCAATGGAGCAGGCATTTGTAGGGAGGAATGAAAGATGAGCTCTCCTAAAAACAAGGTTACCCCATCACTTGAAATCAAGAGTAACACCCCTGGAACTTGGTCAAACATATTTCAACAATTTTTGAGTTGTAAGCTTTAATAAGCCTGTCTTCAAGTAAATTAAGGTTAATTACCAGTATGTCATTGACTGTTTTATCCTTTAATGTTAGGTTGCCCGTCCTCCTTCACCAGGATCTGCTTGTTCTAGTGCCAGACTCCATACTGCCCCTCCCATTTCAATGGTTAGTATATTATGTATTGTGCTCTAGATTTTATATGTATATTAACCTGTATCTATCACCATAAGTCAAGTTCAAAGTCCATTCTGTAAGTTATAGTCCAAGATTTTTCCTCTCAGATTCTACACTTAATTAAAAGCAAGTGGGCCATACATCTGAAGCAAAATATTTCAGGTTCCATAACTACTATATTTACTCAAATAAGCGCCACAGCACTTATTTAATTTTTTTTGCTTTTGCACTTATTTGAGGGGGGCATTTATTTGAAAGTTAAACACAACAAAGAATTGTATTA